CAAGTTACTTTCAACTGTAAAAATGTAAGGAAGGCAGCAGAACGATACCCGAGGTGCGTTGTGTGTGAAACAAGTAAGTTTTATCACTATCTGTAACTTAGTGTGTGGCTTTACCTCCAAATACTTTGTCCTTTCCTTTAGCTACAGATTATGGCATTTCCAGGCATTTAATCAACACGACGCTTTCCAGATGCCCTCATTGACGTGTTAGCATTTCTTAGGAAACAACACCACCTGAACTTTCTAAGCAAATGGCCTCATGTCAATCAAATGTAATTGAAGACTGTTAAGAGCTGTAGATAAAGGACACTGCTTAGTCCATAATTAACGCTCCTTCACGCCGAGTCAAATCTCCTATAACCATAGCACATCTGCTTGATTAAAAAGAAAAACTTACACAGAAAATAATTTGCTTTTTGAAAACCATAGAAGGGAAAACTGTAATTTGTTCTTCAAGGGGTTTGCTAATTATATGGAGATGGAGAAAAGAAAAAGAAGCATCTATACAACAGCATATTTTTAACGCCCATATTTTTTTGCCAGACAAAGCTGAAAGCCCTTGGGTAGCCTAGCAACAAGGAGGAATCCTATACAGATGAAGCATTCTACTTCAGACAGCAAGTCTGTTTTACATTGTTCCTTGGCTATTTCTCTACTGCTAAATTCAGTCACAATCATGTCACACTCACAGAGAATGAAGCCCACTGGCTCAAAAGGGTACAATTTTAAGCACATCAAGAAACAATCTAAGATGAGCATTCTCTCTTCCTTAGAGGTATTGCCCTTAACATTTGTAGGTTTGGTAAAAGTAAGTATTAATGAAAAAGAGACATTAAAGTAGGAGGGGGCTAGACAGGAAGAAGAAAGGTCCAGCAGAAAGAAGGGTAAAAGAGGTCAATGGGGCGAATAAGACCACAATGGACCATCTACACGCATAAAATTGTCTAAAAGTTACATAATTAATGCTTTTAAAAGAAAAGTTTGTCCAAGTGAGTGCTAATTTAGAGCTTCATTTTCTGACTGAAATAGCACCGTTGTTCACATGTAACAAAAGGAAAAGAAATAGATGAATCACTTCACCAAATTTTAAACTTTTAGATACCAAGACATAAGAAAGAAGGGACAACCCACAGAATGGAGAGGAATAGCTGCAAATTATTTATGAGCTATGGCTCTTATGATCCAGAAGTATAGAAAAAATTCACACAGCTCAATCATGAAGACATACAGTGTTTAAAAATGACCAAGGGGTGAGTGAGGTGGCTCAGCAGGTGTTTGCTGCCAAGCCTAGAAACTGGAGCTCCAGTGAGAGGAGAGCACTGGCTCCAGGGCAGTACCGACCTCCAGCCGAGCGCCTGGTGTGTGTCCTTCAGTGTGGCAGGTGCTCGGAGAGAAAGGTGCAGCACATGCCCCGTGACCCCAGCGCCAGTTCTGACTGCCACGTTACCACGGCCAGAGAGCTGACTCTCCCACACAGACACACTGTAAGGCGACTGACAGGGGTCACCTTACATCAGTAGAGATCACACAGGGTAAAGTGCCGGCCACACCACTGGATTCCAGCACGGTGACTCACTTGTTCAAGATAAGGAAAACACTGGCTGTGCAATGGCTGGAATGGCAGCTGGCAGCAGATCCCAGGTAGAGGGCAACTACGAGGCAGCTGATTAGAAACAGAGACAGCTCCTGTGAGATTCCTATGGGCGCTGTGTAGAAGAATTGCTAGCTATACCCTGAAGGGTGAGAGGCCACCACTGGGTGACTGCAGTTAGCACAGATAAAGAACAATGTCCTCAGGTGACAGGCACTTCAGCACTTCCGTGTCTGTCTACTGTTCTATCACGTGATTTCAACCCTTCACGAACAGGAGCTGGAGCAGCAACAGATGAAATCCCAAATTCTGGATTCTTGCAGAAGCTGAGAATGATTTACTTTGCTGCTTTAGCAGAGAAAGACTAAACATTATCACTAGTATATGGAATCCATGACACCACCTACGACACTACAGAGGGCCTGGACTGGAAAGGGAGCCTCTCCTGCTCCTCCTAGCACTGAACAGGCTAGAGCTCCATATAAACAAGAGCAGTGCTTTTGGGGGGAAATTTAACGCACATTCCAATAACTTGAAAACTTTTTTTAAAAAATCACACATGTGAATTTACTTTCTAGTGGTATTCTTTTTATGTTGGAAGGAAGGAAGGAAGGAAGGAAGGAAAGAGAGAGAGAGAGAGAGAGAGAGAGAGAGAGAAGAGATGGGGGATCACTGTGGGCTGCACCAGCTCCATCTGGGCACCGTGCTAAGGGTTCTACACATTATCTCACTATTCTGCAAATCTTCACAGGGTGCTTCATTTTGTAAATAAGCAAACAGTTTCAAGAGTTTAGTTGCTTGCCCAGGCTTCAAAGCTAAAGAGTGGGCGAGAGGACACACAGAAAGGATATTTACACATCTCAGCTACCTGCTGGACGTCCCTCAACACTGGCTGCACTTCCTTCTGGGGACATGGGCACTCGTGTTCCAGTCACACTGACAGGAGAGCACTTGCCAAGTCCTCACACTGACTACCAGACGGGAAGTTTTCACATCAGGAACGGAAATGGCACCGATCACTGGAAAGACTCTTAGAGTCAGCTGAGGTAGTCAGGCCACGGTAAAAGAAGGACAGTGCACGCCTTTAACCCAGCACTGGGAAGCAGAGGTAAGGGGAATTCCTGTGAGCTCAAGCCTGTCCAGTAGAGTTCCAGGACGGTGCTACACAGCAGTAGTCCATCTCACAGAAACAAACCACAAGCCAGAATCTAGCATGATAGATGGTACCTATTGGGTAAACTCTGAACCGGCTGTGCTGGGCAAGAAGGGCAACAGAAAGCCTGACAGTGCATTATTCCATTTGTACAGAACAGCCACGACAGCGAAACCAGAGACAGACGGAGTGAAAGCTTCACTGGCTGTTAGGGTCTCCGCACTCTAGTAGGGATGATGGAACACACAAGCAAGGCAGATGATAGTCCGTTAGCAGTTAGGAGCCATGTGTTCTTTCCTGCTTGAAGTTTATTTTCTGAGTCAGCAAGGGGCTCGGGAGCCAGGCTTCTCTTTCTCACAAGAGTACCTGCAAATGTCTTGAAAGTAAGTTTATTATTCCTTTCCACATTGCTATTTACACTGGTCAGCTTTCCCAAGAGAGGGAAAAGAAAATTACCGTACGAATGAAAGCCATCCAGGAATGAACTGCCAGCAGAGTAGTGTGTGTGTGTGTGAGAGTATATGTGTGTGTGAGTGTGTGTGTATGTGTGTGTGAGTGTGTGTATGTGTGTGTGAGTGTGTATGTGTGTGTGAGTGTGTGTGTGAGTGTGTATGTGAGTGTGTGTGAGAGTGTGTGTATGAGTGTGTGTGTGAGTGTGTGTGAGAGTGTGTGTGTGAGTGTGTGTGTGTGTGAGTGTGTGTGTGAGTGTGTATGTGTGTGAGTGTGTATGTGTGTGTGAGTGTGTATGAGTGTGTGTGAGTGTGTGAGAGTGTGTGTGTGAGTGTGTGTGAGTGTGTGCGAGTGTGTGAGTGTATATGTGTGTGTGAGTGTGTGTGAGTGTGTATGTGTGTGTGAGTGTGTGTGAGTGTGTGTGTGAGTGTGAGTGAGTGTGAGTGTGTCCGTCCGTCCTAGTTGGTTCTGTGGAGAAAGAAAGCTGACGAGTGTATCAACCAGAGTGGGGCAGAGGCCTCAGAAAGTCCCAGACCACAGTGCTCCAGGGGGCCTCTGCTGTAAGATCAGGATGGGTGAAGGGGAACTGTACATCCCGTTGTTAAATTGTCCTGTGCTATTTGAGTTTACTGAGAAGCTGGCACTGCAAGTAAGGCTGGCACCCCAACTTCAGGCCCAAGCATGTTTATGCCAACTGTCTTCCCAGACCCCCTTTCTAGGGCTCGGCTGGCTCCACTGGCACTGTGACAGGGCAGGAAGAGAATGAAATAGCCCAAAAGTAAAACACTGCACCCCTGAAAACAGAAGGTAAGCTGTTTGCACCAGAGGGTACTGCTTATCCCATGATACAGAGCGCCTGCAGCAGAAGGAAGTTCAGCCACGGGAAGCTCAGCCACGGACAGCAGTTCTATTGGAAAGTCCAGCTGACTGCCTCGACCTCCCCAGTCAGGTTCTACAAACACTGTGAGCACCCAATGTGATGATGCCAGCTCTATCTGTTGCTATTTGTCTGTTACTTGGAAATCTCACCCAAGAGGACCTCTCTCTGCCTGGGATTCTCTCTTCAGGTGGCTGTCACAAAGGGGCCTCCTTACCAAGCTTTCTTTAGCTGGATGTTCTCAGGACCTGCTTTAGGATGTTTAACTATTTATTCTTTTCCTTGGCTGCTGTACCTTTAAGAAGAACATTTAGAACAGACAATAGAGCTCCTATTGTAGATCATCTCCATACCATACACATCAGAAGAAGAGGCCACAGTGATAGCGGGGACCCGTATTTCAGGAAGTGGAAGCCGTAAGCACAGAAATGCTCAGAATGTTCTAATCGAGCAGTGGCCAGCATGGCAGGAGCAGAGAGAACTTTCAAAAAGAAAGAATGACGTCAGAATAGGGGTCTAGGCCACATTACCAGGCCTGGGGACCACAAAACTGCAGTCTGGTTATGAGTAAGAATGGGTGTTCAATAACACCTTATTTGCATTGATGCTAAATGAACACAGACGACAGACATGGGGGAGGAAGAGGGGACAAACGCCCTGATGCGCTCAGGACAGCCCAGGCAAAGCATCACCAGGTCTGCTCCAGCAAGTCAGTGGAATGAGGAGGAGAACGGACCATCTAATGGAGTCAATGGGGGTCTGAAACAGAGCCAGCGGTAAGCCCACTGGCCTGACAAAGTAGATAGAGGAAACCTAACTTTTAAGACCTGTAAAACCATATTGAAACATCTAGTATCCGTTCAGAAACAGCAAAAGCATTATCGCCAAGCAACTGAAGATGCAGAAATGGAGACTGGTTCCCCACTCACCATTTGCAGACTGTATCATAGTTCCAGACTTTTGGACTTCATCAAATTTTGTAAAAATGACATTCAACCTGTTTGAAAACAAAAAATATATATATGGAATATCAATCATCACCATTTATGATTAACAAACACTATTAAGTTGACTGCTCCGACACCTTAGTTTCATTTCTGCTGCTGTGATCAAATACCCTAAGGAAAGCAAGCGAGGAGAGAAAGGGTGGATTTCAGCCCACAACTCCAGGTTACAGTCCACCCCTCTGGAGAAGTCAACCTGAAGCGGTTGTCACCCACAGTCAAGAGGAGAATGAACGCACACATGTTTCCAATCAGCTCACACTCATATGGAGCCTACACAAGGGAGCTGGGCCGCCACAATGGGCAGGTTTCTCACTAACATAGTGAGGACAAGCCTACATGGCATGTTGTATCAAGTTGACAATTAAAACAAACCATCAGCCCCCACAACCAAAATAATCAATTATTAAAAAAAAAAGTAAGAATAATAGCTCCCTCAGTAACAGATAATATCCAGCAAAAATTCAACACCTAGAATGGCTCCATCACTGGTTTAAGGCTCAGTCTAAAAGATCGCACTTGGGACTCTATGGGTAACAGAACTTGCTGCACAGCATGAGAACCTGAGTTCAAATCCCCAGGACCAATGTTAAAAACTGACTGCGACCATGCACACACCTGTAACCACAACACTGTGAGGGGTGAGAAACAGGAGGATCACTGGGTCTCACAGCCACCAGCCTAGCTTCGGATTCAGTGAGAAAGCCTATCTCAAAGGGAATAAGGTGAGTGGCAGTGGCAGAGCAGGACACCTGATGTGCTACACACACACACACACACACACACACACACACACACACATACACACACACACACACAGGAAAACTTTTTTTAGTTTGTTTTAAAAGTTCATATTTCTCCTCCTTCTTTTGAAGCAGACTGCCAGTTACTCTGGATAAAGTTTTTCACACTACAGGCTTTCTCCAACTTGTACTTGATTCCGAATGTTATAAATAACTCCTAAAAACATGCGACTGAACCCGCTTCAGCCTAAGAGATCTACATGGCACTTCTAATAACACAACATCATACCTTGGCATTTAAATGTAAGCAAAACTGCTGGTGCGTCAAAACCCTCTACCCTAGCTGGCACCAAAACCATGAGAAAAGATCAGTGATGTGGCATCACCTCTAAGCAAAGCGCAGAGGCTTCCCAAGCAAAAGCGCTCGCTCACTCTCAGCTGTGAGGCGAACACTGACGCTTCAAAGCAGCACCCTTTGTATTCACACAGACGCCACCCACTTCTGGGACAGGCTAGTCACAGTGCTCTCCTGCCCTCCCACCCTTCCTTTGAGAGCAGCCATTTCACACGCACATCTTTTCTTAACCAGAATGCAAACTCCTTGGAGGCTAAGATGGAAATCATGTTCTTTTGGCGACAAGGCAGAGGTCACCTGTGAGAGTCACATCATGGTATCACAGAGGCAGGCTTCTGCCTTCTCTGCAGCACTGAATGTGTCTCAGCTTCTGGACTTAGTTCATTCACTTACTCAGTCACGCAACAGGCGACCGCAGGCCCATCCCATGCCTCGCTCGGAGCTGACTGGACGATGAACGGGAAGGCTGCTTCCCTCTAACGCTTAAAGCTGAAGCAACAGGCAAGCCAAGAACACCACTGGCAAACGAAGGGGAGAACCTGCCTTTTACAGTGCCTCACCCCTCCCATCGCACATGGAAGATCGATAATCTTTTCAAGGCTCCCAGGGCCAGATACAGCTTCAGAATCTTTTCCAAATTTACTCCCAACCACCACTACCCACAAATCAAAGTAGAGATGGAAATAAAAGCCCAGTTGCCAACTCGGGGTCAGACATGAGTAGCACTGTAACTCACATTCAAATCCAGTGGCTACCAAAAATCTGGAAAGATGGCTTAATGTCAGTTCGCAAGATGTTTCCATCACCTTCCCTTTTAAAGCAACAAAGATCTTGAGTGGATGGACAAGCCCATAAATAGGCTCACTGCGCAGGTTGCCAGGGTGTGCCCTGACTTGGGTACCACTTTATTGTGTCACAACCACACCCTCTGCCATGACAGGAACATGCCAGCAGGTTTACAAGTTAGGGCAGATGTATCCCTTTCATCTAGTTGTCTCTGAAGTTTCTGAAGGAGAGCGAGTATTACGTTCCTGGGACAGTCCCAGGAACTTGTGAAAACAGTACTTTAAGATCTCTCCAAGGGGTGAGGTCTACACACTGTGGTGGCCTTAACAACCATGTAGGACAACATCCACAGAAACACCACCATTCCTGGTACCTGTCTTCACTTGGAATGCTCCCGGGCAGGATGCCCTCCCCATCACTGTCACATTCCGAGTTAACTAACACCCTCACTCTTTGCTCAGCAGTGCCTCATCATGGCTCCTATGGTTACACCTTAGAGACCTGCAACCTGGCTGTGGGCAGCTGACACCAACAGAGCCCACCTCGGGCATGAAGTACTGACTACATCCGTGAGCTTCAAACACAGCAACTGAAGAAGCCTCTCGTGGAAAACATCAACGGGCACAAATACAGACAGGAGAGTTCCAGGTTTATCCTAGCCCCACTTCTGTTGTGGAGATAAAACACCCTGACGAGAAGCAGCTCAGGATAGAAAGGCTTTATTCTAGCTCACAGCTCCAGGTATTGCTCCTTACAGCAGGGACTTGAGGGCATCAGGGTCTCAGTCCCATCCAGTCAAGGCCAGAGAGAAGCCATGACTGTGTGCTCGCTTGTGCTCAGCTGGATTGCTCCACACTTACACAGCTCAGGATCCCCAGGCATAAGGAACAGCGACACCCAGGGTGGGGTGGGTTGTCCCACAAAAAGTAAACTTATAAAAAAAAAAAATATCTCACAGGCCAAGCCAATGCAGACACCTGTCCCCAGATGGTTCCAGGCTGGGTCAAGTTGACAAATCACACTGACCTCACCTTGGAAGCTATCAAATGATTTTATTTTTCTAATCTTTAGATTTCAATTTAACATCTTGTGGTTTGTGGTATGCCTTGGTGGTAAAGTACAGATTACCATACCTGTAGCCTTGATTAAACTACCCTCAAGAAAGGAGAAAATAATTTCTTTACTAGTTTGACAAATCACCACTATCATTTTGCCCTAGTTTTACTGAATTTAAATATTTACATTAAATTTAACCCAGTTTATTGTACTATAAGATTTATGTTTAAATCTTGGCTAGACATTTTTAATAATGTAAAATATAAATTTTAAGTCATTTCCAAGAAACAAACCCTGAGAATCTCAATCAACAAACTTCATCCAAACACCAAAAGCTTTTCTTGCTCAGCTTAAGTCTTCCATCCTGAACAAGGGTACCAAAGTTTCTAATTGGGGCTGGTGAGATGCTCAGGCAATAATAGAGATTGCTAGCAAGTCTGACAGCCTGAGTTTGACCACCAGAAAGGTGAAGAAGAGAACCAACTCCCGCAATCTGTCCTCTGCACACGCCATGCATACTATGTGTGCACATCTTCCACAGTATCTACCAGCCTATCTCTGCCTTTCCTCATCTTCCACAGTATCTACCAGCCTATCTCTGCCTTTCCTCATCTTCCACAGTATCTACCAGCCTATCTCTGCCTTTCCTCATCTTCCACAGTATCTACCAGCCTATCTCTGCCATTCCTCATCTTCCACAGTATCTACCAGCCTATCTCTGCCATTCCCCCTTCTCTCATACACACAAGTAAATAAGTGTATGTGAGTGTGTGTGTGTGTGTGTGTGTGTGTGTGTGTGTGTGTGTAAAAGAAGCATGTATTCAAAACCTCAACCTCAGTTAGGCAGATGCAGGCCTTTAATCCCAGCACTACAGAAGCATAGGCCAGCCTAGTCTACATGATGAGTTCCAGGCCAGTCAGAACAGCACAAACCAACACATAAAGATATAAAACCCCAAACCTGAAGGATGGAATGTAAAAGTTGTGCCATGACTGAGGCGATGACTCCATAGTTACAGGGGTTGCCCCTGAACATGAGGCCCAGAGTTGGGATCCCCAGTACTCATGAACACGCTGTGCAGGTGAGATGGCTCTTCTGTAACCCCAGTCTCAGAGAGCAGAGACGGGATCCCTAGAGCAAGCTCTGAGTTTGAGAGACTTTAACTCAATAAATAAGGTGGGAAAGTAGCAGACGATGGATCCAGACAACCTTGGGCCTCCACATGGATGCTGGCTGGTTTTATACCAACCAGACACAAGTTACAGTCATCTGAAAGGAGGGAACCTCAACTGAGAAACTAGCTCCATAAGATCCAGCTGATGGGGGAGGGGGAGGGCCCGGCCCACGGTTGGTAGTGCCATCCCTGGGCTGATGGTCAAAGGTTCTATATGAAAGCAGGCTGAGCAAGCCATGAAGAGCAAGCTAGTAAACAGCCCTCGTCGGTGGCCTTGCATCAGCTCCTGCCTCCAGATTCTTTCCCTGCTTGAGTTCTTGTCCTGACTCCCTTCAGTGATGAACAGTGATGAGAAAGTATAAGCCAAATAAGCCCTTTCCTCCCTCAAGGTATTTTGGTTATGGTGTTTCATCAAGCAATAGCAAAAGTAACTAAGACAACATGTATACATACACACATGTGCCCACACACATGTGAACCCATACACGGGCAAAAAAAATGTACACTTACACGCATATGAACCCATACATACACACTCACAGTGTAAGTCATCAGCCACAGCCTTAGCTGGATTTCCCAGAACCCACATAAAGTAGAAGGACATCTTCTAGGATTGCCCTCTGGCCTCTACATGTGTGCCATGGCATACACCTACCACCATACATACAAAATAAATGTGATTGAAAAATTAAAGCACTTTCATTCCCATCTGATTAGTTCACATACACCCCAGGGTTCTGGAGTAGGCTCCACCCACCTGTTTACAGCAGGCCTGTATTAAGGTCACACCAAGGCAAATGACTCCTATACTCTATTTCAGTACACCATGCCACATCCCTAGTACCCAGGACTTCAGAAACTCTTCCATGAAACAGCAGAGAAAATGAAGAGGTCAAGTCAGTTTGAGAATCTGGACCCCTGCAGTTTCTTGGGACATAGGGATAGGCTTAGAGAGTTGTGCCCACCAGGATCATCAAAATAATAGAAAATCAGTTGTTACAGTGTATTTTTTAATTCTGTCTCTAATGAGCCATTTCCAGCTCGTTTCTTGGCCTATAAGGTGCTGTTTCTCTTGCATCAGTTCATACCCTGAAGGACACTGCTGAACAGAACACGCTCCTTTTGAGGATGTAGTCCCAGGTATTTTGTGCTGTTTAGAGGTGGGCATGCATTAGACAGCTTCATTCACTAAACCAAACCACAAAATGACGAGTGCCGAATGCCTCGATACCAGCACCTCTGAAAGGTGTAGTGTTTTAGTAAGAACTGCCCCTATAGACTCATATTTGAATACTTGTTCCTCAGTTGACAGAAGTGTTTGGAAAGGATTAGAGCAGTGGTTCTCAACCTCAACCTTCCTAATGCTACAACCCTTTAATGCAGTTCCTCCTGTTGTGGTGACCCCCAACCATACCATTATTTTCATTGCTGCTTCATAACTGTAATTTTGCTGCTGCTATGAATATAATGTAAATATCTAAGTCCTCTGATGGTCTTAGATGACCCCTGTGAAAGGGTCATTTGACGCCCCCCTCAAAGTGGTTGCAACAAATAGGTTGAGAAACACTGTATTAGAAGGTGTGGCCTTGGAGGAGGAGTGTCAATGGGATGGACTTGAGATTTCAAAAGCCCATGTCATTCCCAGTCAACTCTGCAAATGTGGGCTCTCAGCTGCTGCTCCGCTCCATGCTTTCCTGCCTGCTGCCATGCTGCCCAGCTATGATGGCCATCAAAGTAACCCTCTGGACCCACACGCCCCAATTAAATGCTTTCTTCTGTAAGTTGCTTTGCTCATTGTGGTGGTCCAAAAGAAAATGGCACCCATAGGCTTATAGGAAGTGGCACAACTAGGAGGTGTGGCCTTGTAGGAATAGGTGCAGCCTTGTTAGAAAAAGTGTGTCACTGGGGGTAGGTTGCTCAAGCCGGACCCAGTGTCACTCTCTCTCCCTTCTACCTGCTGATCCAGATGTAGAACTCTCAGCTCCTTCTCCAGCACCATGTCTGCCTGTGTACCACCATGCTTCCTGCCACGATGATAACAGAGTAAACCTCTGAACTGTAAGCCAGCCCCAACTGAATGTTTTTCTTTATAAGAGACAAGAGCTGGCATGGTCATGGTTCTCTTCACAGCAGTAGAGACCCTAACTGAGGCACTCATGGTGTTTTGTCACAGCAATTGAAAATTAACTAAGACAGAAGTTGATCCAGGGAGTGGGCCAATACTGTGACAGGCCTGACCATGCTGGGTTTGTTAGTGGGTTTTTTTTTTGGGGGGGGGGAGTGGGGATGTAGAAGACTGTGGGACTTTGGACTAGGAAAGTGGTTGAATGCTGTTAGCAGACCTTAGTGGCTCATTCTAGTAAGAGCTTGGAAGACAGTAATGCCGAGAGCAATGTGGACTAGGGAAGCCTGGCTCAAGGTATTTCATGTAATAGCGTTAACTAGACACAATTCTTCTGATATACAAAGAATGTGCTTTTTCCCCCATCCTAAAAATATGCCCGAGGCTTAAATGAAGAGTTTTGGAGTAATTCGTTGGCAGAGAAAATTTCGATCCAGCCCAGTGTTGACTCTTTCATGTGGTTATCAGTGATCACTCTTACCTAGTGTTGACTGTGTCATGTGGTTATCAGTGATCACTCTTACCTAGTGTTGACTGTGTCATGTGGTTATCAGTGATCACTCTTACCTAGTGTTGATTCTGTCGTGTGGTTATCAGTGATCACTCTTACCTAGTGTTGACTGTGTCGTGTGGTTATCAGTGATCACTCTTACCTAGTGTTGATTCTGTCATGTGGTTATCAGTGATCACTCTTACACAGATCTACAATGAAAAAGACCAAGTGGGCAAAAAAAAAAAAAAAAAAGAAAAAGAAAAAGAAAGAAAAATGCAAAATACACAGTTTGAAGAGAAAAAGAGCACCAGGAAATTTAATGTTAAAGCCTTGACTGGTGCTGAAAGAGATAAGGGAATGAAGTCCTCGAGGTGAGATGCCCACCTAGCTAACGGGGAAAGGGCCTAAAGAAGCATCTGCTAAAGAGCAACAACAAATTAATTCAAGGAGGGGACAACAATCCCAAAAAGGCAGCAGAACTCCACAGCTTTGGCCACGAGGATGCGGTGTTAGAGTCATGAAGGCTTCAGGAGTAAGGTAGTAATGGAGTCTTCCTCCGGGATTAATGAAAGCCACTGAGGCCAGGCCTGTGGCAACAGAGTCCCTACATGGAGGCCTAGAGAGGCCACTGTGTGACTCTGTGAAAGTGAAGCAGAGATTGCACTGGAGACCTGAAGATGCCAGAGCCACGCGGTATCTGCCAAGAGCAGCCAACAGGGAGTAGAACCAACCCAAGAAAGAGGTGTGCTGCAGTCAGACAAGCTGGAAGGGAAGAGACATCGAAGCCTTCTGACATTAGAAGTAAGCCTGCAAGACTTAGAGCTTGCTCTCCTGGTTTTCTCTCTTGCTTTGGTCCAGCATTTCCTCACTATGTCCCCTTCCCTCCTTTTTGGAATCGTAACAAATATGCTGGGCCATTATGTGATAGAAGCATATAACTAGCTCTTTGTTTTACAGGGGTTTACAATCGAGAGATTGTCTTCAATCTTAGAAAAGGCTTTGGACTTTTAAACTGCACTTGGCCCATGAAAGACTATGTGGATGTTTGAAGTTGGATTAAATGCGTTTTGCATTATGATATGGCTACCCGCCTACAGGGGACAGAGAATGCAATGTAGCTGTTTGAATGAGAATGCCCTCTAGAGGCTCTTATTTGAATGCTTGGTTCCCAGTTGTTTAGGTGTGGCCTTGGAGGATGTGTTGTCACTGGGGATAGGTTTGGACCTTTCCAAAGACTCCATTCTCTGTGTGTGTGTGCCTGGTTTGTGGATCAGATGTAATCTCTTAATTAATACTCCCGCATCATGTTCCCCAATGTGATTATCATGGACTCTAACCCCCTGGATCCATGAGCCCCAATCAACGCTTTTTTTTATAAACTGCCTTGGTGATACTGCTTGGTTATAGCAACAGAACAGTAACTTAGACAGGTACAGAACGAGGCCAGATGTTGGCATGAGTCATCTGAGGTGAGTCACAGGGTTGGGGGTGACAAGGGAGGGAGCTGTGAGAGCCCGAGATCAACCTTGGGTGCCATTCCTTGGGTGCCAACTGCTTTTTTTTTCTGAGCCAGAGTCTCATTGGCCTAGAGTTCTTCAGTTCAGCTAGGCTGGCTGATTAGGGAGCTCTAGGATCTTTCTGTCTCCATTGCCCCAGTGCTGAGACTACAAGCACGTGCTACCACATCCAACTTTTTAAAGTGAGGTTTGAGGCTCAAACCTAAGCACTCACGCTTTCAAGGCAAGTACTTTCCTGAGCCGTCTTCCCAGCCCCAACTCTTATTTTTGAGGGAATAAGATAAAAGGCTTCCACTGACGTCTGGTGTAGAGAAGACTTCTAGCCACCAGCCTCATAACTATGCATTCTTTGAATAAAATTACCACATCAAAAATAGGAGCATGAACCAACAGTAAACCTGAAAATGAGCAGGGAAAGGGGTGGAGAAAAAGTACTACCAACAAACATATACAGAATAAATACTAGTTTAAATAAAATTTCTAAGGGCCAGCAGGGAAAGACACTTGCTGTCAGTACTGATAACTTGAGTTCAATCCCCAGTGCTCACACAGAACTATTCCTGCAAGTTGTCCTCTGACAACATGGCACAAGGACCCCCATACACAGAGACACAAATAAATACATTTAAGAAAATTTAAGTGGAAACAAGAGAAAGCAAGCACTCACCGGGACTGTGGCAACCCTTTCTTACTGAGGTCTGCCCGCACACGTTCGCCTACATGTCTGTAAATCTCCACCAGACTGTTTATTGCTGCATCTCTAACCTAGACGTAAAAGAAGAGATCTTATAGGTGCTTCATGTCACTCCCCAGTTCCTCCAAACAGAAGCTGAACAGTCTACATGCCGCCCCAATTTATACCAGCCTACCAGCACATACAATCCCCAGACAAGCAGGACTGAGCAAGGGCACATATTGCTCATAAAACAATCCCAAATCATAGAAACCCAAATTGTAGAAAAAGACCCCAGCTTTTTATACAGACTCCCAAGTCCTCCCTATTCTTTAACATTGTGATCAGGAAAACAGAATTTAAAAAACAAAAAACAAACAAACAAACAAAAAACCACATTAAACTAGGCTACAAGTAAAGCATCAGATGTGAGGTGGTGTGAAGAGCATGCCCCCCCGCCACGGGCTGGTTGAACAGTCTAGGAAGGATTTAGGGATGTGGCCTTGTTGGAGGAGGTGTGCCCTTGTGGGTAGGCTGAGGTTTCAAAAGCCTATACCAGTCCCAGGTAACTCTCTCTCTGCCTTGTGGATCAAGATGTGAGTCTCAGCTCTAGCACCATGCCTGATGCTGCCACGCTCCCTGCCATGATGGTCATGGATTCTAACCTTTTGGACCTGTAATCTCTACATACACAGACTCTTTTATAAGTTGCCTTGGTCATGGTAACTAAGACAGTGTCTACGTAGATCACATACAGCATTAGCTTCATGTGTAAGAAGAGTAACTGAGAAATAATGTACTGTAAGGGCCCACATCCAAGGGATTTACAATACTAAAACAAGCTAACACGAAATACAAATGCTACTTTAAATAGAAGTCAGGATGTGGTCAATGTTCAAAACCAAAGATCATAGAAAGGTAGGATCAGGGCTGCTGGGTAAAAAGCTGGCCCTGTGGGCACGAGGACCCAGTGAACCCTAGAACTCATGTTAAAAAGCCAGGTTGTTATACTTAAAATCTCAGCACCGGAAAAGCAGGGACAGAAGGATCCTGGGGCTCAATGATCATCTAGCAGAGCCTATATGCTGAATTCTAAGGCAAGAGACTCTCTCAAAAAACAAGTTGGACAAGGCCTGAAGAATGATATCAAAGTTGTCCTCTGGCTTCCACAAGCATATGAGTAAGTGTGCGCGCATGCGCACACACACACACCTACAAAAAGAGAAGGTGAAGAGGAGGAAGAGAGGAGTCGTGTCAGTGCTCAGAAGAGTGAGATATTGCCAGGTGCAGCCAGAAGCGTGGGTCCAAGTAAGACCCTGCTGCTCAAAGGCAGGAGGCACTGTGGCCCTCACGAGCTGCAGGTACATCATCTGGCCAGACACAAAGACCTGCAGCACAGGCAGTGAAATCAGGAGATAAGGATGGATGTGTTTTCTTAGGAAGCCTCATTATGGAGCAAACATTAAATACCAATTTGATGCTAAATTTCTTTAGTATAAAAATGCATGTAAGGTCACTGAGATGTCTCAGCAGGTGAAGTTGCTTGGCACCAACCAAGCATGACAACCTGAGTTTGATCCCCAGATTTGAGGCACAAGGATCCACCTCCACAAGTTGCCCTTTGACCCCCATATATGCCTCTTTATAGATATACATGTTTATTTTCAAAAACGTGTAGCTATATGAGAAGATACTTTTGCTATTATATGAAACACTAAACTTTCTGGAGTAAAAATATTATGTCTGCATGTTATTTCCAAAAGGTTCAGAGAAGAAATACATGTTTTCAAGTACATGGTGCACAGGCAGATGTAAAATAGATCTGCCAGGGCTAGCTGACAGATACAAGTGCTCACTCAACTGCTCTTCTGGCTTTTCTGTGAGTGTACAATTTTGCACACAAAAAGAAAATAATAATTTGTAATACAGAATGGCATAAAGGCCAGGTAGGAAGTGACAGGGAGGCAACAGGGTTTCAGATTTGGTCTGCAGAAATGAAACCAAAATCTGCAGTGTTATGGGACATTTGTTTACACTGTGTGAAGATATGTCATTGTGACTGGTTTAACAAAGAGCCAGATGGTGACTGACTAGGCAGGAAAGGATAGGCAGGATTTCCGGGGACAGAAAGAAAGAAGATGAATCTAGAAACGGGGAGACACCAGTGAGGTGTAGAACAAGTCAGACATGGTACAGAGGAGAGCTAACTGAACCAGGTGGCAAAACACAGATTAACAAAAGCAGATTATTTAAGTTAGAAGAGCTAGTTAGGGACAAGCCTGAGCTAAGGCCAAGCTTTTGTAATTGATAAGTCTCCATGTCATTACTGGGAAGGAAAGGCCCACAAGAAAGCTTACTACATAAAGGAGGAAGGAAGGGGGACATAGGCGACAGTTTCTAGGCCTGTCTGACCTCGTCTCCCATGACAGGTAACGAGAGCCATAAACCCTCTCGTTCTAATACATCTTGTCTTTTAAATCACACACCACATTCACCAAAAGGCAAGTGCTGAATCCCTAAGTCCCAAGACAGGGACAGGACCTCTAAGAAGGTAAGGTTTGGAGCGAGGGCTATAGAGATGGCTGAGAACCTGTACCGCCCTTGCAGAGGACCTGAGTTCAGTTCCCAACACCATGCCAGAAGCTCACAACTGCCTGTAATCTCAGCTCCACACAACCAACAGTCTCACTTGACTTCTCCGGCACCTGCACTCACGCATGCACAGACCCACACATAGACAAACACACATGCACAAAATAAAAGTTAATCTTTTGTAAAGTGCTAGGCATGGAGGTCAGTGGTGGAACAGTGGGTGGCTGAACTGACTGGCAGGAGTGAGGCGCATATATTCCTGTAAGATGCAGTCTGCATGCAAAGCGCAGGTGCTATTACTTCAAAGGCAGATGTAGGGGCAGGGGCTGGAGATCAAGGTTCGAAGGTTTGTCTCTATGTGTGAGGCCCCAGTCTTAATCTCTAGCACTGCCAAAGAAAGGACTGTGAAGGCTGGTACAGCCCTGAGGATTGTTTTCAGTGTTTAGTAGAGAATCCTCAGCCGATAAATCCTGTCTACTACAGGGAATGCAAGTCGCCCTGAAGCACCAGCCTCATTTTCCACATGATAGGAAACGGAGATAAATGAAAATAAAGAAGTAATAATCATTTTCTTATTAAAGGCCTATAGACCAAACCACTGTAACAGGCTATACCTGAGAGCCATATAGTACAAGTACTGATCAGATTTGGGGCAGAAAGAGGTAATTTGAGGTTTAGTTTGTTAAGACAACTTCACACTTCCCATCTTTTTTTGTTTTGTTTTGTTTTGTTTTGTTTTTCGAGACAGGGTTTCTCTGTGGTTTTGGAGCCTGTCCTGGAACTAGCCCATCTTTTTTAAAAAAAAAAAAAAAGTTTAACTCACTTGTTTTATTTTTAATTTTTAAAGTTTATATGTATTCATGCTTTGCTTGCATGTATGTATATGCATTTTGTGTGTGCCTGGATCCCTTGGAGGTCACAATAAGGCACTGATCACCCAGAACTGGATTCATGGACAGTTGTGAGCTGCCATGCCACATGAGTGCCCAGAACCAAGCTCGGGTTTTCTGTAAGGGCAGAAAGTGTTCCGAATTTTTGGTTTTGAGACAGAGTCTCACTGTGCAGTTTGGTTGACCTGGAACTCACTATGTAGACCAGGCTGTCCTTAAACTCTGAGATCCACATGTCTCTGCCTCCCAAGAGCTGAGACTCTGGGAATGTGCCATTACATCTGGCACCTCCTAGTTTTGTTTAAACTTGTACAAGTCTTTCTAACTCCCGTTAAAGGACTTTCCTTCACGTTTAGGCTGCATCGCTGCTACTACTGAGAACCAGCCAGGAGTACCTGGCTTCAGTGTGAAGAACCATCTTTTCGTACGTGGAAGCACTGTGTTCTCTAACTAGCTATGTGCAAAGTACATCCATACTGTGAAGACACTAAGACACCAGTACAATAAAGTATTTCACATATTTAAAACAATACATGCTGGACAGTGGTGATGCACGCCTTTAATCCCAGCACTTAGGACGCAGCGGCAGGTGGATCTCTGAGTTTGAGGGCAGCCTGGACTACAGAATGAGTTCCAGGACAGTCAAGGCTACACAGAGAAACCCTGTCTTGAAAAACAAAGCAAACAATAAAGTTAGGGTATCTCAAAAACCCAGTGGATGTGGCAGGTGTGAGATTTCTGCAAATGCAATGCCCATCTCAGGCTAAGCAGACTCTTAATAAGCTGGGCCCAACAGTGATACCAGAGACTAAGAACAATCCTTCTCAAAAGCACTTCCAGAAAGATTCAGAAGCAAACACACTACTGTCCTAACAGGGAGGCAGGCTCAAGAGCAAGGTGTATACAGGGTCAGCTGTGCAAGGCCAGGACATGTCTTTACTCTAGGCTTTTTATGCTGGCCCAGGTAGCTCAAAGTCTGATACAGCCTCTTCAAACTGATACTCAATGTCATCTCTAACATCAAACATGAAAACAACTGAGTTAATGTGTTTAGAATGTGGGACTGTGCTGACCTTGCCAAAACCGTAGAGAGATTCCCATATGAGCATCAGCTCTGACCTGAACAAGGGACATAGAGTCAAGGAGCAGTGCCACGTGAGAAAAGACGGCCCCCAACCTTGTCACAGTTCAGGGCAGTTCTGGGTCCTGTGAGCTGTGCTTGCTAACTGAGCTTCCCCTGCTGGAAGAACTTTGAGGCTCATCTGAATAGCTTCACAGGGAACAAAAACATCACTTTCAAATCTCTAAACTGGGATCTGAGCTTCTGAGCAAGACCCACAGCACACAGCAGAGGGTCCCGAGCGGGTGAGGTGGTCCTTCCATATTTCTCCTCTAAACACCATCCAGGACCAACGCACAGCGATGCCTCAGCATCCGCTGTGAAGAAGGACGGTGCTCTGCAGAGTCCTGCTGGGTATCACTGTGCCGCACATGGTACAGCCAGTGTGGGATGTCTCTCCTATCATCTGGAAGATGATGCCCACTCCAGTTAGAGAAATACATTGTGTGCTATGTGCCTGCCAACTGAGCTTCCCCTAGCATTTTCCCCACCTAGACCTGTGAGTCTGCCTTCCCCATGAGCCTGCTTAGTCCTGTGAGTCTGCCTAGTCCTATGAGCTTCCCTTCCCTGTGAGCTTCCCTTCCCTGTGAGCCTGCCTTCCCTGTGAGCTTCCCTTCCCTGCTATCTTCCCTTCCCTGTGAGCAGCCTTAGTTCTATGGACCTAGTCCTGTGAAATTGTCTTATTCTGTGTGCATGCCTTATTGGAGTAGCTGTTTGGGTTTCTCCACAAACAGATAGCAGGCAGTGAGCGATGAGTGCTGTCGTGCTGGACGGTGTGTCTAGCCTGTTCCGTCTCTCAACCTCAGTGCACACAGATACAAGGCCACCCACAGGTCTACCATCAATTCCCTATCACCTGCCAGCTTAATGACAGACAACCTCAAGTAGGTGCCATGTAATGGCACTGACATCTCCAAATGGGACTTCTATAAGGGAGTTCTGCAGAAACAAAGCTAAAGGCCCACTGGTGAGAAGGAAAGGCAAAAGCACCAAAATTATTCTGAAACTGTTGAGGCCATTTTAGGTTTTGCTTTGTTTCATTTTATAGGTTTTATTTTATGTATAAGTGTTTTGTTCCTATGCATATCTGGGCACCACAGTGTAACGAGTGGTTGTGAGCCACCACGAGGGACTAGGAATTGAACCCACTGCAAGAACAACACACACTCTTAGCCTTCTCTCCAGCCTCTGTGGTCATTATAACTGGTAGACTATACAGTATGACTTGGTGCCCAGCAATGCCTGTGATTTCTCAGTACAGGAGAGGGTAGAGTGGCCACTACATTAGCTGAGATGTTTTACACATGCTAGTGGATAGCTAATCTCTTACATCAGAGTCAGAGCTCCCCAGAGGTAAGTCTGCCCACCTGCGGCACACACAGATACCACAATGCACCTTCACAGGCTGCAGGTTTTCTTTCCACTCACCTGGCTGTTGGGGTCTCCCAGTAAGTTACATATATGTGGCACAATCTTGCTTAGTGTTAGAGTCTGTGCCCCAGAGCTGGAAAGAAAAGGCAAGAGTGAGAACAAAGGGAAGATGTCCTGCCCACACCTGCCCTTCTCCACCCCCAGAACTAGCCCCACACACCAAGGTTCCCTCCATTCTACTCAGAATGGCTCCAAAGCACCCCAGAGCCCACGGCTGAGCCCACGCTCTTCGCTCTTCCATGGCCTGGCCTTGGAGACTACACCAGGCCCGCACCTTGCCATTGCGCTTGCCTCAGACCCTCGCTCTACTGTGCAGCTCATACTTCCTGTTCTGCCAACCAAACTCTTCAGGGTCATCTGGAGGCGGGGGTGCTTTCAGACATTCTGTGATTGCTGCTGGTAACAAGACAGTGACAAGATGGCTGCAGGGCATCTGAATAGGCACTGCTCTACTGGGGAACTTTGAGTTTGTCACTTTTCCTTGAGTTCCATCTTTACTTTAATTTATGCACATGTCTATCTGTCTGTGTGCCAGAAGAAGATGTCAGGTCCCCTGAAACAAAATCCATAGGCAGTTGTGAGCCGCCTGATGTGGGTTCAGGGAACCAAACTCAGGTCCCCTGGAAAGAAGCACTCTTAATCACGAAACATCTTGCCAGCCATTTCGCCACTCCGATGCCGATGCCCCAGACCTGCTCTGTGAATACATGCTACAAAACAGCACAGACAGCTCCGGAAATAATTCCAGCAGTTTCTTCTAAAAATTAGAAATGGGCTGGGGAGTGGAGGTATGGCTCAATGGTTAAGAGCACTGGCTACTCTTCCAGAAGGCTCGAGCACCCGCACGGCTGCTCACAACCATCTGTACTCCAGTTCCAGAGGATCTAACACTCTCTTCTGGCCTCCAAGGACACCAGGCAATCACGTGGTGCACAGACGTACATGCAGGCAAAACTCCCAAACATAATAAATAAAAAATAAACAAAAAACGGGCTTAGGAAATGGCCCTTCCATTGTACTCTACTTCAGAGAACTGAAATTTACACTTGTGCAGAAAGTTGTATACATATGTGCAGCAATTTTACTCCTAGGAGGCCCAAACTTGAAGCCACCACATTTTAGTTAATTGATAAATAGCTAATTAAAACTGGATTACATCTGCAGTATATATTCTATACAATATAATCTATACCACAGGATAGATTCTATACCAAAGGACTGTGCCCAGCACTGAAACAAAATGAATCATGTCCATCAGTGGCATACAGTGCAAGCTCTAGGGAACTTTACATGGAGATCTAGACTGCAGCCCTGACAGGGTATATGAGAATGCATTCCCCTCGTGTAACAGTTTGAAGTGACAAGGTCATAGAGATAAAAGTCCAAATCAGTGGCTGCCACAGGCTATCGTGTGTGGTAAAATGGCAATAGGTGGGGGCCTGTGTGCAGCTGTGGCAATGTGGGCAAGCTCTGTGGGCAGCACCCATACATCCTGCTGAAGGCTACGCTGTCCTATATGGCATCCTACACTGGGCAGGTGGAGGGAAGGAGCTACTTCCCAGTACGTTTCTTCACAACTACCTGTAGATCTAATTACTTCAGAAGAAAGAGTGGAGGGTGGTGGTGGGTTTGGTTTGGTTTGTTTTTAAAGCTTTAAGGAGCTGGAAATGTAATTTAGACTTTAAAATGGTTACTCAGCATCCCCAGAGCCAAATAAGCAGGACACATCTTGGCCTATGCTAGTGATACTAGTTCTTGAAGAGTGGAGGCAGGAGGATGAGAAGTTCAAGACATACACGAGACCCTATCTTGAAGAAGAAAGGAAGAAAGAAAGAAAGAAAGAAAGAAAGGGAAAGGAAAGAAAAGAAAAGAAATAAAAAAAAGCCGGACAGTATCAGTGCACATGTGGGAGGAAGAAGCAAGTGGATCTCTGTGAGTTCGAAGCCAGCCTGGTCTACAGAGTAAGATCCAAGACAGCCAAAACTGTAGAGCTGTTACACACAGAAACCTTGTCTTGAAAAATCAAACAAACAAAAGAAGCTTTGGCCAAGCACAGTTAGCAGGTTCACCCCAGACTTACGCATTGAGTGTTGCAATAAGGCAGAGGCAGATGCCCTCTCTCGTGCGGAAGTTCTTGTGTTTGAAACCTCCGAGCATCCTGTCCCACACGTACTGCAAGTGACAAGAAACAAGAGAGAGGGTAAGGATGCTTCGCAGTAAGGAAGAGGGTCAGGATGCTGCAGCCCTTCGTGGTAAGGAAGGAGTCGAACAGGAACCAAACTGGTTCCATTCTCAGGGTCCTCTCCCAATCCCACTGCAGTAGACAGCGAATTATTTTATCAACCACTTCCAGTTAAAGTGTGAAAAGCAAGTGCACTGATGTACACTACCGGATCCTCCCCGCACCCCAAGGAGGTGTAACTACCCCACATCATGACTGAAAACAGTGCAGCCCAAACGACAGCAGGCTCGCACACCTTCTGTTGGGAACAGCTCCTCACTGAGGCTCACCCTAATCTTTGTTTTATCTCCCCTGGGAAACCGCTGCTGGCTGCTCCAGCTGCATCCCCCAACAACGGTCAGTAGGACCCTGGAAGACAGGGCTGGGTCCATCCATTCTAGCAAGCCCAGCTAACTGTCATATAGAAACCAGGGGCCCAGCCAGGCCCACTGGCTCCTCAGATACCACCAGCTGCCCCTCTCCAAAGAAAACAGGGGCCAGTCTCTTCAACGACCTGAAGGGCACAAAAGATTAATCAAACACTCAATACCCATGTCAAACCCACTAATTTATTCAAATGATACATTTTGGTAGTTATATATTTAAATCTCTCATAAGGTGAGACTGTGGGCCATCAGAATGTTCATCACTGTACTGGCTAGTTTATGTGAACTTGACACAAGCCAGAGTCATCAGAGAGGAAGGAGTCTCAGTAGAGAAAACGCTGCCATGAGATCCAGCTGAAGGGCATTTTCTTAATTAGTGATCAATCGTGAGGGCCCAGCCCACGGTGGGCAGTGCCCTGGCTGGTGGTTCTGGGCTCTATAAGAAGGTGGGCTGAGCAAGCTATGAGAAGCAAGCCAGTAGCCAACACCTATCCGTGGTCCCCGCATCAGCTCCTCTTCCAGGATCCTGCCTGTCCTGTTTGAGTTCTGTCCTGACATCCTTCCATGATGAATAATAGCACAGTGGAAGCGGAAGCAGAATAAACCCTTTCTTCCCTGACTTGCTTTTTGGTTATGGTGTTTTGTCAAAGTAACAAAAACCCTAAGACAATCTCCAACCCATCAGTTTAAAAGAAATTAAGCCCAGGGAGTTGCACAAACACTGTTTGTGCACACAGGTGTGCTTCTCTTGTCCTACCTGGGGGTTAGCAGCTTGGTCCATGATCTTTAGCAGCAGGGCTTGGTCTTGCTCCCTCACGGAGTCCTTAGCATCTCCCAGTCTGTCTATTAGACTTGGCAACACTGGAAAACAAAACGGAAACGATTAAATGAAAACAGATCTGGGAAATACCAGTTAACCCTGTGGCTCAGTGGTTAGCATGCTGGACAGGTACACCGAGCCCATGGGTTATACGCACTGCCCACACAAAACAGAAGAAAAAGAAAAAGGAATGGGGAGCTTTTCTACAGATACAGTCATATAAGCTTAGTGTTTACACTGCCACCACGAAATACCTTGATTTAGTGACATTTAATCTGTGAGAAAATCCAACTGGCTCCTTTTTTGTAGGACTTTTCAAAAAAAAAAAAAACACGACTCTCAGAGGAGGGGCTGGGGACACGTACTGGCTGGCGTTAAGTCTGATGGCTAATCTTGCATAAAGTCCTTAATTGGTAATATTTCATGTTCGAGGTCAGAGCAGGAAGGAATATTTCGGGATTAGAGGGAAAGGTGCCAGTTCAGAGGCAGTGAAGGTGTGATGTGGGTGAGTCCTGCTGGTCGCGGCTTACCTGTGCCAATTTGCGCCTTGAACCGGTCCTGCAGCCTTGTCACCAGTGCAGACAGGATGTCCATGCCTAGTAGAACCACCTGCAAAGGGAAACAGGCACAGCATCAGCGGTGCTGCGAGGTAGCGCTGGCACATCAGGTCCTCACGGTCCCAGAGCCCGGGGGGCCTAATGACTGGGAAGGCTGAGCTGGCTGCTCAGGAAAGGATGCTCGGCACGGAAAAACCGGTTACAGTTTGGAAGAAAAAGTCGCCTGGGCGAAGCTCCACTGAATAGAAGAAGCAGCCTAACCCACAGAAACCCCATCACCGCCCATCCCGGCCCGGTCTGGCCCGCCCCGCCCCGCCCCGCCCCGCCCCAGAGTAGCGTATGCAAATTAACCAGCTGCAGTACTGCGCCTTCCTCTGGCCCCGCCTAGAGAGGCGTGTATGCAAATTTTCAGACGTGTGTCGCTCGGCCTTCTGGGTAAAACAGAGCAGGCGTCTGAAGCCCCTCGGGACTTTCAGGAAAGCAGAGAGAGTAATCGGCATCAGAAGCTGCACTTGTAGAAAATACTGGCCACCGCGCGGGCTAGGGAAGGCCGCACGCGGTAGTCACCGCAACCCAACCCGGGTTTGGAATTTTCTGGCTGCGGGGAGCGCGTGGTTGCAGGCAACCATCCTTTTCTTGGGGTTGCGCTACTGTCCAATGAACGCATAGTGAGGGCAGTACTGCTAACGCCTGACAACACACCTGCATCGGTTAGAGCTCTGCTTTACCTTGGTGCAATTTTTGGAAAACCACAAAACCTCTTTTCCACGCCTGAGAGTTCAAAAAGAATTGCGAGATTGATTGCTTCCCGCGCTTCCCTAGGTGCCTGCTAGAGGGCAGCCGTGACGCTGCTACTGCAAGACTGGCTTCCGAACTTTGCCTGTTGTAGCCATGAAACTGCCATGGATGCAGAGCGCTTCGTTCTCACAGGCTTCAGGACCCTAGTTCACGTCCAGTTTCCACACAAACCCACTTAGCTCAAATACTAAATAAACCAGGCCGGGAAGGAAATTAGACTTGGGAGTGTAAAGAAAAATGTACTTTTCCATCTATAACTGCCCCGGACTGACCTGGAACTTAATGTGTTGCTCATGCTCACAGTCTCAAACTCCCGGCCACTGGAATAAGGGCGTGTGCCACCACACCTCCCCCACACTTTTAAAATAGCTTTATTTACGAGCATTTTCTTTTTAAAAAAAATTTTAGTTCAAAATATTAGTCTTACTTTTGGGCCACGACATTAAGTTTCCCTACTAAAGAGCACAGTAAGGAGAATAGTATACAAACCTGATAAACCACGTCATCCAGGTGACCAAGGTCAGCATGAACAACGCTAAGTCATGCTGGTAATGTAAACGTAATATAATGGAATACACACTTCACCTCCAGTCTCTCCAAAGCCTATGAGCCAGGAGAGGTCCCAAGGAAAACATGAGGGAAAGTCAAAACACCACCAGTGCTCCACTGTTAAGATCAAAACCAAGGCTATCTGAGAAATTGCACAGGGAAGAGAGAGGGAAATGAAATATAATAAGTATCCTGATAGAATTCCCAAGTGGGGCGGGGGAGGGATAGAATTCCAGGGAGGGGAAGCAACAATTTTCCCTAAGGAAAAGCTAAAGATCTAATTTGACCACCAGGTTAGGAGATGAAAATGTACAGATAACCTGTACCAACTGGTCCCCCTTCTCGTAGGGCTATCATCCCCTGGGAAAGGGCACCCAGACACTGAGAATAACTTTTTATAGCATCTTTATTTGCCTGGGATATGGCATTCTAAAGTTGTTGGGGGTTTTTTTTTTGTTTGTTTTGGGTTTTTTTTGTTTGTTTGTTTGTTTGAAAGAACCAAATAACGAAGAGACCAAATTAAGAGTCAATGAATGGCTCTGTTTAAAATGCACTGTACACAGAGCAAGAGAAACAGGAGGGAAGTCGGGGATAGATCCAAAATACAGCCTAAGGAGGCAATGGGTTAGAGGAGTCTGAAGCACACGCAGGTGCACAGCAGAGGCGCACAGAACACACAGATGCTCAGACAGCGGAGCCCCAGCAGGGAAAGCAACAGCTGACTCACTAGGCGGCTACTACAAAGGAAGGGGGAGAGAGGAATGAGGAGGGAAGGGAAGAAGGGACCGTGCCAATAATGACTCTACACTGCTGGTGGGAGTGTAACTGAGTGTCAGTGTGGGAACTGTCTTCAAAACATTAAATAAAACTTAACTATATGATCCAGCAATTCTACTCCTGGACATAAACGCGAAGGAGGTAATGACGGGTGAGGGTCAGCATCCATGGCATCGTTTCTCCAGGCACGATAGCTGGTGAGTGGGTGCTCACACGTGGTCTTATACCAAGATTGCAGTCCTAACGCGGGAGCAAAGTCAGCCACACTCGTCTTCCACCCTCCTTATGCCATAATAAATTCCCCAAATAAAGAATTTATACAATTTAAATTGTGCGCCGTTCTGAGCAGCACAATAAAACCTCACACTACACTGCTGAGAATCAGCAATGCGAATCACCCCTCTGGCATCCAGTATCCAATGACGCCCTCTATGACTCACTGGGCGTTCATACCAGCTGGTCAGCTGGCAGGTATGAGCGTGCTAAGGAAGCCCATAGTTACTGAAAACTGCTCCCAAAGCACATGAGTGACACTGATAATTCGGATATGCCCAAGAGAAAAGAATTGGGGTTACAGGGCCATAGCTCCACACCTGGCATCCCCTTCAGCAAGGACTTCACAGCCTGGGGAATATATGTAGAAATACAAATGGCAAGACACTCAGTACACCTACTGGGAAGCAGAACAGGAGGAACAAAGGCAGGAGCCACTGGTTCACACACAGACTGGTTGATAACAAACAGAATTCACCAACAGCCAGGAAAGGGCACAAGCATTTGGGGCACCACGGAAGAGCAGTGGGATCGGTGCTGTTTTACATAAACGCCCTTGGGTCAGTGCGGTACCTAGAAGGGATAAAAAGAGAATGGCTCCTGCGACCCGCCAAGCACAAGTAACACATGTCAGCAACAACCCCATGATCCTGGGGTAGGAGATTTTCTGAGCCAGATAACCACAGACTTCACAGGCCTAGGCTGTGAACTGGACCTACTTGACTCTCATCATAAGGCACTGCGAGAGAAGCAAAGCAGGGCAAACCCATGGATCATCAAGGCCATGATGTTTACAAACTCTGCCAAGACTGTTTTCAGTGCAGCTCCACCACATTCTACACAGGCCCAGTGCTTTCAGGTTTGGGCAAGTCACAACACCTCCCAGCCAACACCAGGTGACCTCCAAAGTCATGTGAATCTCTTTGGTGCCCTGATAACGCCAGGTCCTGAAAAAGTACACAGGCTCCCTAAGCCTAGACTTATGAGGGACAGGGTACACCAGGCTTCATTCACTGCCCACTGCCAGGAATCCCATTTCCAAGTGTGAAAAGCACCAACTAACTATACATCCACTCTACAGAGCACACAGAAGGGCTAACAAGCTTTATCAATATGCCTAGTACACAGTAGGTACCCATAAGGATACCGCCCCTTCATCAGGGCCAGGAAGAGGGCTGGGTTCGTAAAGTGCTTGCAATCAAGTGTGAGGACCCAATGTCCATCCCCAGAACCCAAAGAAGTATCAGATGTGGTGCCTGTAATCCTCATGCTGGGGAGGCAGGGACAGGGGGATCCCCAGGTCTTGCTGACCATGTAGTCTAGCAGACTATGTTATCAGTGAGACAGCAAATCAAGCTAGGCATGGTGACTGTACACGCCCTTAACCCCAGCAGAGGCAGGTGATCTATTGAGTTTGAGGACAGCTTGGTCTACATAGCGAGTTCCAGAACAGCCAGGACTACACAGAGAGGCACTACCTCGAAAATAAACAAGTAAATTAAATTCATAAATAAAATTAAGTAATAAAAATAAAAGTAGAGAAGGACTGATGAAGACATCTGACCTCTGGCTTCCACATGCATTGGAGCACATGCACACACAGACACACAGACACACACACGTGTGCTGCTATCTCCTAGGACACACATGTCCACAAGTGTGCTATATGTCTCAGCACCAATGTCTATTAGGATATCTATAGGTATAAAAATGCTCTCCCTTCTACACTGGCGCTGCCACAGAACGCAGTGGTAATCCTTGAGAGTCAGGGTACATGCTGCTGATATCTCCACGCTGTTTAGTTGTTGCTTCCATTGTTCAGCTGGAGCCTGATATCAGCTAAAGAGAAACTAATTAGCACTCTCTACTGCACTCACTTCCGATTCCAAGATTAAGAGCACAATACAAATGCAGGAGGAAAGACTGAGTCTGGAAGCATCAGGAGTCAGCTCCATGCAGGCACGCTGTGAGCACTGGTCCGGCAGAGCTGTCCTACAGAGCGGTCACCTAAGGAGCTCCTGGACATTCATGGCCACACCACTGTGCTGACTCTTGAATCTTTGTCTGGATACCATCTGGAGATGCTTATTGCCAGGTACTGCCCCACACAGAGATGTAACTATTAGAAAGGGACTTAGGACACTGCACCGTAGAACCCCCTCTTTTTCCAGGAGGCAACAGTCACAAAAGGTGAAACTGTACTGTGAAGCAGACGTCAGAAGCTGTATTTAGAAGTCAGACCTGCCCAGTACAGCGCATCAATAACATCAAGTATTCTGAGACAACCTAGTTCAGTGCAGTAATGGTGGCCACAAGCAGAGGCTGAAGTGACAGCTGCCGCTGCTGTCACACAAGGACGATGGTCTCTGCTCACCAGCGCCCTCTGGCTGCGGTTTGCTGGCACAGCTTTGCTATCCTAGTGCAGGAGAGGTGGAGACAGGCAGATAACTGGGGCCCTTGGTCAGTCAGCCTAGCCTCATTGGTGAGACCCGGTCCCAGTGAGAGACCCTGCCCCCAAAAAAAGGAACAAGGTAGACAAGGTGTCCAGATTCTGAGGGATGATACCTGAGGGTTGATATTTGGCTGCCATATGCATATGTGCACACACTCATACACATACATGCACGCACGTACACACACACAATAAATTGTGCA